AAAACACGTCGTTCCATGTGGGTATCCCAGGAAGTGATGACATCACAGTACTAAAATTAGCAGCCAATCAGAAAGATGCGTCTTTTCTACGTTTAACGGCATGTGGAACAGTGGATGGGGGGTTCAGGGAGGTCTCCCCCCTGACAAAGTTCTAATGAATAAATCTACCGGTCCGAGATTCTCCATGGAGAGATAAAAACTGGGGAAAATCATGAATTCCTAAGGTTGAGACATAGGCAAAGTCAGTCCGCTGGTCCGGTATTCTTCAGTCTTACCAATAATATTGATAATAAGGTATTCTTTGACTTTCCCTCCCGTCTCACACTTAGCTGCTAGTTGTCCTTTTTTCTACTACTAAAATAATGCCTGAGGCTCTATGCGTATGGCCCTCCTGTGCGCATAGCCTCATAGCTATGCGTACGGCCCTCCCTCCCTTAGGCATAGCCTCGTGGCTATGCGTAAGGTCCTCTTGCGTACGGCCTTCCCTACGTACTGCCCTTAGATTTAGATAGAAGTAGAAGTACGCTCACAACCTTGATAATTTCTCAGCTGGACCGCGTACTTTATTGATCGATATCGTGGCCAAGACAAAGATCGTGTATAACAAGATAGTTTACACGTATTGAGCCAATTTTTAAACGGACTTTGCGATAAGAGTTACCCTACTTTTGTGAAAATATTTATTATATATATAATAAAAGTGAAACTAACAAACTGTGCTATTCCTATATATATATAGATTCTTCTTCTTCTTCTGGTGAAACGAAAGAGAGCTTCAAAACAAAGACTGCAGCGTCATCTGAACCAATGTGCGGACTTTCGCGGAACACCTTTTTGGCTGAGTGAACTATTTTACATATGTACGATCTTTGGCCAAGAGACCCTCTAGGAGATCAAGATAACTTGCAAAATCATTGGTCCCTATTTATAACTTTGACCTGTAATTTACTACGTCCTTTAAAATATAAGGAATGCTGAAATTTCCCTTTGAAAAAGGTCAGCGTCTATGCCCTATAAAGCTGTGCGCTTATTATAGTAAAGTGGAGGCTGTACACATAGATTCCCCCCCTTCTCCACCCCGAAGCTGAGTCAATGATTTGACAATGACAACACACCTAGGCTACACAGCACCACTGTCACCTCTTGTCAGAAACAGTCAACCTACTTATCAGCTGCGCGCAGTTTCCGGCAACACAGGCTTGCTTCAGCAGAAATTAAACCTCTTGTCAGCAGGCACTCGGAGCACTATTTCCTGAAATATCAATACCGGATTTAATTGTTGACTCGCCCCAAGTTGTGTTTGATCTTTGCTCGCACGTTTTATTTCCACTATACGTAATGGAAGTAGTATCGATTTGGCATTCCGACTTGGGACATTCTCAAGATCTAGATCTACGTCTGCTTTTGTTTCCACTCAGAATTCCCAGAGGATGGCGTGATAAATGTTTCAATTGCGACATATAATGATCAATATTAATCGGAGTTCTGCTGTTACTTTTCAAAACAAACTTTGTCCAAATTCTGGTTAGTTGGGCTCATCATCGAGACCCGTCAGTAAAACTGTTTCAATCGGGCTTTTACATCATGTGACTTCGGCGTGTGAGTTCCACGTGTGTCAGGGTCAGTTCGTTGATGGGGTCAACTTAAGTTCATGCACACTGGTTGAAGCATCTTTCGAGACTTAAAGGGTAGGGGCGGGGATGGGGGAAAAGACACTTTGGCTTAAGAGCCCTTGACGTGATACTTCAGGATTTTAAAAAATTTCACCGTGGTGATTTGTCTTTTATCCTGATTTTTTTCCACGAAATCCTGATTTTTAGATTTCTTAGGCTTAGAGTGGCAGGTCTGCCCCCATCCTTCTTTAACACATAATATAGTAAACATGAATTGTCCGCCATTTTTAATCTTTTTTTTTTTTTTTAAATCGAAAGTCTGGAAAGACTGGAATGTGAATCCTGGAATGGCTCTGAAGAATAATGAAT